GATATAAATGGAGTAACACATAAGATAAAAAAATATGACTTACTCGGGATCGCGCGGTTATTAGTAGATAAGATTATATGCAATCAGTGCCAAAACTTCTGCGACTTTTTAAAATTTTATTAAGCCTGTAAAAGACGACACGGACTCGTTTGAAAACCCAAAGAGAGGATATAGCTAATGTTTCGTATTGTAGAGAGGACTAAAATTAGGTCATAAGTATTGGGAACACAGATTAAGAACCAGACCTCGGCGGCAGGTCCCCAGAGAGCAAGCTGGAATTCCTTTTTGCGAAGAAAGCAAAGGGGAAATCGTATGGTGTCTAGAGAGGAGGCTGAAGTTCAAACTTAATCATGACTGCTTTTTCCACAACAGAAATGTAGAAGTTCCCCTCTTCCCCTCGTTCTCAAGTTCCGCGGACGTTCACACATGCGGCCTAATTCCGTCTTATTCAATACTTAATTTAGAGTAAATCCGCACACACTTTTGGACCGTTCAAAAACCTGCTCCAGCAAAGGTTCCATGTTCGTTTCAATGCGGGCGTTGAAGCGGAGAATTTGAACAAGATTTTTGGATATCGTTCAAACCCGTTTTTCTAAGGGAATAGGCAATAAACGGCCACCAAAATTAACTTGAAGATGTGCAGCAACGAGTAGAAAAAGTGTTTGAAAATTCTTTGAAATTTTATGAGAATGGAAAAATCGCCGTACCTTTTTGTGATTTAGGTCTCCGGCGGAAACCTACGGGAGACCACAGGTCTCCGATTAGCAAACACTTTTTTGTTTCTCATAATTTTACGTTCCTTTTAGTAAACACTTTTTGTGCACCCTTCGATCCAACTTACAGCACAAAAATCAGATCACAGCACTTTCTCCCTTCCTTGCTAGGGCCCTAAATTGTTTTACCTTAATGAAGAAAACGCGCTCCAATATACGGCACTGCCGTGCTTGTCCTGATTGTACGTGTCTATTCAGGTTACAATGGGGGCTTCGTTATTTCTTGGATTTTCAAACGGGTATTCGTTCTCGTAAGGTTCAATCGGAGACCTCGTG